TCTGCACAAATTTTTAGTCACACAAATGCCGTGTAACGTGATACCCGCCCGTTCCGCCCGCTCAATTTTTCTCACTGGTCATATCTTTTTCCTCCAATTTATCAATCATTTAAAATTCATCGATATGCAGGAAAACAAAAAGTCCCTGATTCGAAATGTTCAGCAATGCTCTGAAACACAGCACCAATGTTGAAGCGTTTGATTTACGGCATGATCTTTGACCGGAATTCAATAAATGACATTTTATATTTTTTCATGGATGAAGAATACATAAGCAATTCGTATGACAATAATCACTAATGAAGAACCATAATCAATACCATCAAGTGGACACACATTCCCAAAATCCATGCAAATATATCGAAAACGAGGTTGAAGATTTTTTGTTGGCAAAGTAGGCGGAACCCAGTTATCTCTGAGTTGAAAGAAAAGTTCTTGGCCAAATCGTGTTTTACCTAAAATGCAAGATGTAGAGAAACAAAAACTTGAATATAAAAATTGTATTTCCTATGAGTGTTAAAGAAGTTAGAGATAATATATTACCTATTCCTGGAGCTCCTCCACTGACAAGGATATCAAAATCTGTTTTTTGTTTTTTACCCAAAATGTTCTTTTCTAAATTTTTTTTAAATATTTTAATTGCAATAATGACATCTCAAAATCATATTCTAAAGTGGAAGCATGACCAACATTTTCTAAAACAATCTTGTCTATAACATCTTTAACTGAAAATTAAAGGAAATAAACATTAGAGATTAGGAATGCGAATGCATGCAGACACAATATTTCATGAATTATAATATACTTGTTTTAAATGAGTTTTTATCGTTGTGGAAGTAAAAAGTAGTAACAGAACAATTTAGTGAAAGTTAAAACAGTATACCAAATAAATCTTTTTTTTTTTTTTTACGCAATTTGTTCATTATCTTTTTCATTAAATCCGGCAAGTTTATTTTGTAAATTTATCATCTGCTCACGCCAATCCTTCTCCTCCTCCTCCGACCTCTCTTTTTCTTTCTAAGCCTTCCGTTCCTCACAACTCCTTATAATTTTTCAAGTCCCCTCCTCCATAAATTTCTTCGGCCTTTCTATGCTCTTCCTTTGCGTCCTTTAACTCTTGTTCAATTTTTTTCGATATTTGTTAAAAAAAAAAAAATTGTAAATTCTAGCTAGCCAAAAAAGCTATCAAATATCGTCTTAATTTTTTTCAGGATAAGCACTCAATATTATTATTTAACGATTTAATAATGAAGCGTCATTGATTTGTCATGATCAACAATCAAAGGGAAAAAAAAAATAATTAGCAGTAATGGGGCCATGATATCAAGGATCGTCGGCAACTGCACCGCAGAAAATGTGAAAATTTAGCATGCCTATGACATAAAGATTATGTATTTTTTTTTTGATTCCCAGTGCTAAAAAAATAAATTAGCAGTAATGGGTCATGGTTTCAAAGATCGACGATTTTAGTGGTATTTGCACCACAAAAACGTGAAAATTTAGCATACCTATTACATAAAGATTATGTATTTTTATTTTGATTGCCCAGTGCTAAAAAAAATAAATTAGCAGTAATGGGTCACGGCCTCAAAGATCGACGATTTTATGACATAAAGATTATGTATTTTTATTTTTTGATTGCTAACTAATAGAATGATATCATTAATGATAATTATTGTTGTAAATATAAATAAAACCGTATCTCTCGAGAGCAAATTCTTTTTTTTTTTTTTTTTTTTAAAATTTTTTTGATTATTTTCTTTTCTTTTTTTTTTTTTTTTTTCACACATTTTTCGAAAAAAAAAACAATTACTTTTAAACAACAATAATAATAACTAAAAATGGCACCAATTCAAAAAACCGGCGAAGCCGCAAAACCTGTTGTTAGTAAAGAAGATTTAAAGACTGGCCAAAAAGTTGTATATCATCCTGTTGGTGGGAGTATGCAACTTACCGAAGGAATTATCAAAGGAATTGTTACTGAACCATCGGCATGTATATTCATTCGTTCGATTTGATTTTTTTAACGAATTTTGTGCATAACTAAATGATTGTTATAATTTTATAATAAATATTCACTAGACTTTTGGACATACTCAAAAGAAAGTTAAAGCAAGTAACGAAGAACCACGTATAGTCATTGAAAATCTACATACTCATAAGGTTGTTAATATAAATTTTATCGAATAATAATTAGCGAAATAAATGAAAAAGTTTTATTTATAAATATTATTTTTTTGATTCATGTAGGAAACCGGTAAATTTCAAAATAATCATATAATCACAATCATAATCACAATTATTTATTCAACACTACTAAATAAAATTTGAATTATTCATTTTACACATGTTTATTCAGCTTATAAACTTGAAAATATTGA